AATAACTGGTCATAAAAGCCGACATTTCCGGGCGCGTCCTCCCGATCCCCGTATAGGAAACCAAACGGTCCTAACCTATAGTTGACGGACACAACCACCACATCATTGGTGGCCAAAGCGCTCCCGTTATACCACTCTTGAAATATTGAACCAATAGTAAGCCCTCCTCCGTGTATCCAAAACATTACTGGTTTTAATGCTGTGGTATTTGTTGTCCATATGTTAAGCACCAGACAGTCCTCACTGAGGGTTGAGTCGGGCATAATAGTAAACGGACCGTTTGGTTGTATACACGATTTTCCAACTTTTATTGCATCAATTATACTCTACAATAATTAATTAAAATTCATTAAATTCATCAATTTATATTATTTTATTGTTAATAATTTATTTATCTAAAACATAATTTATTTAATTGAGAATCATGATATTATAATTCATGATTGTAATACTGTAACGTAAAAACATTTTGTATTAATTTCTCAATTAATACTTACGGGAAATGGTTTAGAAATGGGTTCGGGTTTTGCGAACCTATGTTTGCCGACCGGGGGTTCGGCGTATGGAATGCCCACAAACTGATCCACATTTGTGTCCAACACATGTAGTGTCCGACCCCTCACTACTCCTATAGTGGTGTTCACATCAATACTATTCACTGTATTTAATGTAAAATATAAATTAAATATTATTATTGTGGCACGGTCAAACATTTTTATAATTATTTTCAAATTAATTTTTTATACACTATTATATTACTTATTTCTATCACCAATAAATCCAATTAACAGTACTGCACCTGTAATAAACGTTTTAAATACTATAGATAAGTTATTTAGCATGTTATCTTTCATGGTCAATATGATTCAACAATTTATATGTTTATTTGTTTGCTGTATTAAATAGATTACCACATGATCTAGATATTATTAATATCATATTAATGTTTTAAGTATTAAATGTTTAGAAATAATTTAAAATATTGTAAAAGTATATGAAATTTAGTTGAAGTTTTATTGAACATTTAAGTTTTATTAAAGTTTTGATTGACAAATAAGGTAACTTTATAATTAATTAATAGGATATTAATGAATGATTATTCTATAGGAAATAGTGAGCCCACAAGACATCACAAGTTTCATGAAACGGATCCTTCAGTACAAGCCGTAAGTCCTTTGGGTCCAAACCGTGGACTTTGGGCGCACCCATCGGCTCATCGTTTAACAGTTGCGGCCAATCAGAGCCCATATTACTAGAAATTAAGCACTATTATTAAATTCATTTATCATATACATTAATAAATTTCAATATAATTAATTAATTAATTATAAATATCATTATTTTTAAATGAACAATGTAAGTTACCCTGTTTTGGCAAATGTAGTCCACATTTTCATCACAACATTACTGTAATTAATATCTTCGGGACTGTAATTGTGTGGATCAAGTAGTGGCAGACCAAACACGAATGGTATTTCCATTGAGTGACAAATGCCCATGGTCGCACTACAATTGTTTTGTTTGGCAAACCACTCGCTTTTATACAACAACTCGTAAAAGTAAACCCTTTGCGACTCTTTGACAGTTTGTGCGAACCGTTTGGCGAACAGATATGTCGGACATATCATGTCTACATCGCCTACGAGTGCGGCAAATGCTGTGCGCACT